AATCCAAATTCTGGGTTATTATAATCCTGTTTTTAACATGATTTTATCATTAACAGAAGTTTGTACTGATTTGAGACACGGGTGTATAGTCTCAAATATCACCTCTGGCTTAATCAGCACATGTCCTAAGTTCCACATAATGAGGTTGGTGATTGTTTTAAGATAAACTGAATTTTTAGTATGATAGATTATTTCTCCCTCTTTCCTTCCTGCTCTCTGTTCTTTATTTCTTAGTAACTGAATTTTTTAAAATAGGAAAACATTAGCTGAAATGTTCGGGACAAGTTACCATAACTTTTTGTCTTGGTCCACATACATGGATGTTTCATGTGATGAGAATAATATTTTATTTGATTAAAATTATAGAGAAAAATTTATAAATTTTAACATTAAAAATGAGTCCTGGGGCTAATGAAAAATATCCCATGAGAAAAGTAGAACATGCATATTGGGAACTTGAGCCATATCAGATCCAGCTGGCTTGTCTAATTTCAAAAATAAGCTTGTTAAAATTATTAAAAAATGAGATGTTCTAAAATATCTAAAATTTACCTTATTATTTGCCTTTATACTCTTCAATTTTATTGAAAAGTATAAGTAGAATTGGTTCAAAAATGAGATGTTCTAAAATATCTAAAATTTACCTCATTATTTGCCTGAATTGGTTCAAAAACATGTAGTATACTTTTGCCTTGTTTATGGTGTAGTAAAAAGCGCATGCGATTTAGAAGGGGGTCATGCTTGAGTTGCTTTTCCATCCCTTACTAACTGGGTAATCAGGACATTCTTCACTTTTCTGAGCTTCAGTAGCGATGAAAGTTGTTAAGTTAAGGAGTAGATTTAAAATGCCAGTGTCAGATTTACATACCATACTAATGTTTGTAATTACATAAAGACATGAATAACTAACATGTTTAAGTACTTTGTCTTTTCTTTGTGACTGTGGTTATTATTAGTGCGATGAATGTCCTTTGTGTAAGTTTGAGTGGTTTGATACATTGGATATGTTATGTGTGAGCTTCAGGATCTTATGAGGAAACTAGGCCTGTCCAAGAACGCTTGTTAGAGAGCACTTGATGGTGAGTGATGAGACAGTGCTAATGTAGTTTAATTTCTATTTTTGTGCCCTTTTTTAAAGTATATTTTATTGATTATGCTAGCACAGTTGTTCCGATTTTTTTTCTCCCCTTTATCCTCCCTCTGTCCTGCACCACCCCCCACCCTCCAGCATCCTGTCCCCACCGCCTTACTTCATGTCCATGGGTTTGTACATATAAGCTCTTCTGCTTCTCTGTTTCCTATACTATTCGTAACCTCCCCCTGTCTATATTATGCCTACCAGTTATGCTTCTTATTCCCTGTACCTGCCCCGCCGCCCCCCACTGCATTCTCCCCTTTCCCTCCCCACAACAACCTTCCATGTGATCTCCATTTCTGTGATTCTGTTCCTGTTCTAGTTGATTACTTAGTTTTTGTTTTTGTTTTTTATGTTCAGTTGTTGATAGTTAGAGCTTGTTGTCATTTTACTGTTCATAGTTTTTGATCTTCTTCAATCCCTTAGATAAATCATTTTAACATTTTGTATAATAAGGGCTTGGTGCTGATAAATTCCTTTAACTTGACCTTATCTGGGAATCTGCCCTTCTGCTCTAAATGATAGCTCTGTGTGTCCTTTTTGATAGATCATATCATAGCCAGTTAGCAGCCTATTGACACCTTTAACACTTAACACTTAACACTTAACAATTAACACTTAAACATTTCTTTGTCTATGCTAGGAATTGCATCTACATCATGACATTAATTTATTTCTGATTATAAAAATTATACTTGGAAAATAAAGCATATAAAAGAAAATATATAAAACAGGTTATTATTTCCTCTAATAGATATAACCATTTATAGTTATTGTATTGCCTTCTAACATTTTTTTCTCATTATATAACTTTTGTTTAGCTTAACATATGGGTATTTTCCCATGTTTATCTTTACTACTTTTCCTGCTCAAGTTTTAGAATATATATAATAAAGTAGCTACTTAAGAATAAAACTACCTCTTGCAGAGAAATGTAAATACTCTTAAGTATTAAAATACATTTCAAACTAAAGAGCTAACATACAGAAGAAACAAGCATTAGTGGATTCAGTTACTTGCAGTTTGCTTGGAGAGGAGGATGACATGTGGTCCTCAGCGATCAGCATGGTAAGTGGGCAGAGGAGCTCAGGCTTTGCACTGATGCTGAGTTGAGTGAATCCTGGTTCCATCACCTTTTAATTGTGTGATGTTGGACAATCACTTCACCCCTCTGAACTTCAGTTTCCTCATCTTTAAAGTGTGATGAATAATACCTGCCATTTCGGGCTACTATCTTTTTAGAGATAATGGTTATAAATAAAGTACCTGGTCCATGGCCTGAACATGTTAGACAGAGGGTAAACAATAGAAGAAACCTAAGACTTATAAAATTTAAACATACATTATGAAGAGCATGTTACAGCCTTAATAAATTAAAATACCTCTCTTTTTTCTTTAAGATTTTATTTATTTTTTTTAAAGAAGGGAAGGGAGGGAGAAAGAAAGGGAGAGAAACATCAATGTGTGGTTGCCTCTCGAGTGCCGCCTACTGGGGAATTGGCCCACAATCCAGGTATGTGCCCTGATGCAAATCGAACCGGCAACTCTTCAGTTTGCAGGCTGGTACTTAATCCACTGAGTCACACCAGCCAGAGAAAAATATCTCTGTTCTAAAAATATTTGTCTCTATAATTCACTGTTTCCCTTTTCACTTATAAATATATGACTGCCACAAGAGGAGTAGAAAATGATGAAAAAGTGGTGCTGCCTCGAAGGTGATCTCTGTGCTGGCAGAATCCTTAATTATAAGCTGTAGCAAGCCCCTGTCCAGGTTACTGTGATCACCTCATTCTTGGGACATGCTTACTGAAGGGATGTTGAGGATTCACAGATGAGTTCACAATCCAGGGCAGTGTCACGTGACCTTTACTGCAAGTGATCCAGTTCAGAGAAAGCAAAAACCTTTTCAGTGCACTTACAAAAGAAAACATCTGAATGAAAATAGCTTTAATGATCCTTGTTGTGGGTGGCAGGGTAGAGGATATAAATTCTGAAAACTTAAATTGCTTGTTGAACATACAAGTATAAGTGAAAAATTGGTATTTATTTTTGCCAGTAACTGGTTAAATCCTGGGTGTGTTTGAGGAAGAACAACACTAATCTAATTTTTATTTCCACATTAGACTGCCAAGTTAGAGGAATCCATAGGTTATGGTTGCTCATGTCTGATCTCGGATGAGTCAGAGATGTAGACACAGCTCAAATAGGAACACAAGCAGGGTGGTGGTAAGTGTTGTAAGGGACCCAAGTATGGTATTTAGCAAGTGGTTAATTCTTATGAGGGAAACAGGAAGATGTCTCCAAGGAAATGATAAGTAAGTGGGTCTTGTAGGACGAACAGAAGTTAACTGGGAAGGCCAACAGCCTTCCAAGTGCAGAAAACAATGTGACAAATCACAGGGCGTGTGGTGTGCAGTGCAGGTCAGGGAACGGAAAGTAGCTGTGGTTTGCGGGGGGCGTAGGAAGGTGCTGGGCGGATGAGCCTGGAGCCCCTGCACTGGTACTATGTTTGACTTTTACCAGAGGTGACAAGATTTTTATTTCCATTCCACAGAAACATTAAGAATGTTATATTGATATAATTAGTAAAAGCAGAAAGTAACAGCTAATCAATTTAAAATAATTTGTAAAACACTGAAAAGACACAACAAGTATGCTCCCTAAAACAGACCATTTTTTAGGAAGGTGGACAATGTCCTATTCCAGTCCAACAGAAGGCAAATGCTTAGAAGAAGAGTTAACTCTGCACCCCATGTCAGAAATGTATCAGCTTAGTAAGTAACCTGATGAACACAGCTAAATGATATGTTGTGACATGCCATATAAAGGGTTAAAATCCATTATGCTCTCGACCACTGACACTCCCTAAACTTTCAGAATTCACCACTGACTTCAGTAAAAGTCACTTTTAAGAGAGAAGTTTATAGAAAGGCATGCACATATAGAAAGTACACACATGCACTTCTCTTTAAAAATCAGGACAGTGGTAAGAGACACTTTGGTGAGCACACAGGCAGGAAATACTCAAGTACCGTAAATAGAAGAGTTGATAGCATAAAATTCATGCTATTACTATGTTTCCTCATAATGATTCCCTCATTTTTCCCTTTTCTTTAAGCACTAGAGGGGGAGTCAAGAAATCAGGATCAGGCCCAGCCGTATCATTTTCTAAACATCTGCCTCATCTCAGATGGGTCCCTTTCCTCTCGTAGCCCACAGTTTCCTTGTCCCTCAGATGAAAGGATTTTCTAGTACAGCTGCTTCATGACCGACTCTGAAAGATGAAGGGAGCCTCCTGCCAACCCTTCCCCTTCTAACAGCAGCTTTGCTTTTATTTGTGTTACTAATAACACAAGCTTTTACAAGATTTTTGGTAAAAGGATTTGATCACTTTTTAAAAGTCTGAAAATCACTGAACTGGATGTTCCAAAGGGCATCTCCAGCTCAGAAACAAGCTCCACATGTGTGGAATGGGGATAACATTATAGATCCATTTTATACATATGAGGTTGATCAAGATACACATGCAGAACAGAGCACAGAACATAGGAAGCATCGCTGCATCAGCTGTTATTCTCCCCAACTCCACATTGCCCCCTCACAAGTAAGACTGTGTGTCATGACTCAAACTTTGAGTAAAAATGTTGACCTGAAAAAAAAAATGCCTAATCTATCTGTTTTATGCCAAAAACACTATAAAATGTCTTGGACATTTACTCTGTGAACTTATAGCATAACCATTTTATTTCTCCTTTTTGTGTTCATTGCTTTTCCTCTCACAAATGGAAGTTTTCTTCTATATCAGACCTTTGAAATAATGACGACCAGATGCAATGATGACATTGCACATATCTATGTGTTTCAGGCTTACCAGCTCCTGGGAAAGTGACATCAGCGTCCACTCTTTAACCCTGCCCTCTGCAACCTGCTTGGAGCTGCTGTTGATATTATCAAGGAATACTGCCATGCTGCCTCCCTCCCTCCACTCCATGAATTCCTTTCAGGTAAGGAATTGCTCCTTTAGCAGCGTGTGATATCTCAATTTTACTTGTGATTGTTTTCTAAGGAGCCTGGCTTTCACAGGAGGTAGTAGTCCACGGAAACCCACATTTTCACATAAAATAATAATAAGCATAATGCATGTACTATCTTGTCTATCTCTTTTTGAATAAAGGAACAAATAGAGGCTCAAAATCGACTAGATAATTGTCTAGTAGTGACAGAATCCATACCTAACTCCAGGGTTTGTTCTCTTAATCTTCATCTTTTCTGCCTCTGAGAGAAAAGGCAAGAACATTTGGCAGAGACACTGTGAATGCCACTTCCTTTTCCCCAGATTTGCCCTAGAACAAGGATTTTCAGCTGGTGGTGATAGTGTCCTACCCACTCTCAGCACCTGTTCCCTCTCTCCCTGGCCCCTCCCTCATCACTTTCCCATTGTCCTGAATATTTATCGGTGCTCCTGGTAAATGACAAGGTCAGAACAGAGCAGGACAAACAGAACAGCAAATATGGACTGACCAGCAAGACTACTCACTTCCTGGCAGGTAGCTGATTGTCACTAAGGAGGCAAATGGGAATTACAATGTTAATTAATCACTTAAGTTGTGACCCAGTAGCTACTGAGTGTGATTGAATACATCTATGACTCTTTACAACAGAGTAATATTCACAAGCCTTCTGAGGCTGGTGAGAAGGCCATGTGCCTTCTTGAGAAGTCATTGTGGGTTAGCTCTGCTTCTGAAGGGTTGCTGATGTATCCTAAGGTAACTTCGGGATCAGCATACATTGTTTGGTGAACCTCTGTGTTAAAACAAGGTGTGGATTTTCCTATGTATTATAGCTCAGTAAATTGATTTAAAAAAAACCTGCTCCAATGTAATTTGCATCCATATTCTCATGGTAATTTGTTACATTGATTATCTCTGTGATTTTCCTCCTGATAAAAGTCCAGACTTCATTGGTCATGGTATACAGTACCTGTTTGTATTTATGATTCATCACTCAATTACCAACTTTAATCCTGAACTCAAGGGACCTTAGAGAATACCTTATCATTTTGTAGAAGAGGAAACTGAGACCCAGAGAAATGGAGTGAGCTGGCCAGGCATCACCCAGTGTGTTAGAGACAGAGCTGGACTCACCAGGCTTATGCCCGGGCAACTGCGTCTGCCACCTAAATGCAGGACTCACTGAAGGGGGGGTGTGGCAGGGCACTGTCAGTGGTACCCCTTATTCTATATAATTTATAATTACTTTGTTTATTTGTATCTTGCCCTGAACCCAAAATGATGTAAAAATTCTATCAATCCTTATTTCTTTTAAGTTTTGCTCTTTGAATTGAACATTGGATAACATATAAGTTTGTATATGTCCACAAACTTTTATGGAGGGAGATAAGAAACTTAACAGTGGTTACCTTTGGGGAGTGAGGCTGGTACACAATTATTTTTTATTTCACTCCCCCGTGTCCTGTGTGAAATTTTCATGCGATGGGTGAGTGGGGAGCAAGAGAGATGAATCTGACTTCAAGGATTTTATACAACATATTGGGGAAGATGGGACAATTATCCATGTGTAATATAAATTGAGAATAATTATATTACAAAGTAGCCTCAATGCCAGTCTTAAAGCAATTGAAGGTAAAGAGAAATCTGAACCAGGTGTGGGGGATTTGAGAAGAGGCCGAGTCTTGGTTTCTTCTCCATGAGACCAGCAGGTGGTCCTGCACCCTTCAAGGGTCTCTGCTTGGGCTCTGTAAACACGGGTGTGAAGGCCTGGCCTGTGCTTGGTGGCACTGGTGTTCTCTTCTAGCGCCTTTACTCACAGGAGCTTTGAGAGGTGTCAGGATGTTAATTACTGAATGCCCCTCTCTGTTAGTGATTGTGCTTCCTCTGGTCCCAGTCCATTTGCTGAATGTTATGATCAGGAGCACATACACTTTTCCAGCTTCAAAGGTACAAAGAACTTGTCACAATTTCATGAACAATGTCTGCCTAAAAGATTTTTCTCTGTTGCTGGCCCTGGAAAGATGCATTCTTATTATGAATATACGCATTGACTTCCCAATGCAGGCCTTCACTCCGAAATAAAGGATCAGTGAAAAAGGGAGGATGTCTGTCAGGTTAGAAAGAGATGCTCTGGTTCTTCATCTTTAACTCCTCCTTAATCATTTATTACAATAGCACGGAATGGGGCTGCTCATCTGCCTGTACTTGGGATTTACTTTTTCAATTGGGGACTCACTTGAATGCAGTTTTTTCAAGTGCTGCATTGGCAAGAGCTGTAAAATAATGGAATGACATTTGTCAGCGAACCACCCTTACATTTCTAGTTCTGTTGTAACCCAGGCCGAGTAAGTTACTGTGAGCAATCTTTTTTTTTGTAAAAATGTGATTTTCAGTTTCTGAGGATTCAAACTGCACTCCTGCTTGAGCTGTTATCACTGCCCAATCCCAAAAGGAGAGGTTTATCTCATTAATTGGAGCTATGAACATGTATGAAATTCTAACTTCTTAAATTACAGTATAACATTTCCCTCAGGCCAATAGGGACATCTTTGGGTGGATTTGTTACAATTTTAACTTGTACTCTGTTACAGTACCTTAACATCCCTGGTGTGACTGTGAGCAAGCAGAATGTAGGATTTGCTTGAGAATCACTGATGTAATTGCTAGACACCTACTGTCGTTGTTGCCGCAGCCCCAGGAAGAAGGATGGACTTACCATGCCACTCTCTGCTTAAACTTCTTCCGTGACTTTTTATTGCAGTGAGAATAAAATCCAAGCATCTAAACCTGGCCAGCCAAGGTTGGCAACATCTGGCCCTGCCTCACCATTTGGCCTGCTCTCCTGCTTTCTCCCTCACACTCTGTTCCAGCCACACTGGCCTTGTTTCCTGCTGCCTGTCACAACAAGCTGGGTCTGGCCACAGAGGCTGTGCACTGGCTGTTTTCTTTGCTACCAAGAAATATCCTGGACCAGATCCTTGCATGCCTGGGCTCATCTTTTCTTTCAGGTGTCAGCTCAGGAGTCCCCTCCCCTAAGAGGCCTACCCTGACCCTCCTCATCAAGTTCCCCACTCCCCACCAGCATATTCTATAATTTCATTTTTCTTCATAGCACTTTTCACTGTTTCAAACCACCTTGTTCACTTATTTGTCCTTTTTTCTCTACTGCAATGTGTGTTAAATGAAAAGAGGGAGAATGTACACTTTTGTTCAATATTGTATCAACAGAACCTGGAAGTAGGAAGCACTTAATAAATATGAGATGACTGGCTATAGATGGGTGGGTGGATGGATGCAGAAATAGAATGCAAATTGACATGGCCATTTGACATTCTAGAGAATGGGAATTATTCCAAAAACTGAGCTACGGAGAAACAGGCATGAACACTCGAGGGCAGAAGCAGAGCTTTTCTCTGCTGAGAAAGGGTGAACTCAACAGGTAAGGTTCAGATTTGAGAGATGTGGACAAGATTTGAGCACAGATCGGTATTTGCATTGTAATTAGAGCCTGGGGCTTTGTACAAATGAGAAAGACTGGAAGAAGGGCTCAGACTTTATAAAGAGCTGGCAAGAGTCAAGATAATCAGGGTGACTAGTACACAGGACTGGGCTCCCTCTGTGCACTGGATACCATAGAAGGGGAAACAGGAATGATGTCCAAGCTTTGGTGCCAGAAACCAAGGGGGGGAAATGGAGGTCCTCTGGAATGAGGGTGCATGCAGCCTGCTGCTGTCCTGACTGCTGCCGGTCTGATTCCACTCTGAGTGCTTCAGAACCCTGGAGTGAGGTGGCAGAAGGCCATTTCTATATTCATCTTGCTGGGTGACAACCAGCTTCTTAACTGAAAGCTGGCAATAGCAACTTTAAATGTGGACAGTGTCTAGAATGTAGAGCCTTAAGAGCAACTTGGTTAGAACCAGGACTGGGCAGGACTGCTGGTTTTAATTGCTGTTCTTTTTCCTTAGAATCCTAGACACTGTAGCTGGAAAGACCAGTTAGTCTAACGACCTCAGTGTTCTAGATAAGGAAGGGACCCTTGGAAGGGTAAGCTGATATTGAAGACTGTAACTTTGATTCCTATGCTACGCTTTTTGTGCTACACAGGATGCTGACTTCTCTTCCGTATAAAGGAAATTTTTTTCTATACTAGCACTTCTGTATTCCATGGGACACGAGTTCCTTAGGTTATAAATAGGTGTTATAGAAAACAAGTAGTATTTAATCATTATGTATTAATAATGCAAATTATAAAGACTAATATTTATTCAGTGCTTTCTGTTACCCAAGCACTGTTGTCAATGATTTGCTCTTATTAGTTCATCTCATTTTCATGAAAAAAAAAATACCGTGAGGAAGGTATGTTATCGTTCCCATTTCACTGGTGCAGACATGAGCCAGAGAGAGTAACTTGCGTGTGCTCACACAGCTAGTGAATGGAGGGGCATAAGATACAAAGCCTGGCTCTAGAATCCCCTATTCTTGATCTCCAGGTAAAATTGCCTTTTAAAATAAATTTAGTTAAGCTAAGTTAGATTTTCTTAACCTGCAGGACTTTCGGGGCCTTTCATATGTGCGTAAGGAGCAATGTGAGCTTTCTAGTTGAAGAATATAATAAATATTCTTTCCCAATTGTCTTTGATAATAGGAAGGCTTTTTCTAGGGACATTTAATGGAGTTAATGCTCTGAGAACAGAGATGGGGAGACACTATTCTGTCCAGTGGTGAAAGATGTGGATGACAAGGCAGAGTACTCCTGCTCAGTGTTTTCGGCAGTCTTGTTTACCTGCAGCAGAAGTAGTGCTGCAGATTTCACTGGTGATTGTAAAGCAGGGGACTTATTTATTTATCTATCTATTCATTTATTTTAAGTGACTAAACAATTCTCTTTGTGGTCAGGGCCACCTTGGTCAAAATGGCACAATAGGAACAAGATCTGCCTTGGCCATTTCTTGGTACACATTTTCTTAGTACACAGTGAGTCATGCGAGAGGCCC